TCTGTATTTATTTATTTATTTTTACTCTACTGAATGGACTTGATTTTGAATGAGCAGGAATACATTTTTAATATCAATAAAACCATGGAGATATTTTCATTTAACTTCCATTTTTAAATATAGAGTTACTGAAAAACAGCTACTCTCTCAGAAGTCTTCGCTAGCACTTTGCTGAAAAATAACATTAATTTTTCTGCCTTTTTGGTTTAGGAAGCAATGACCACCTGCTATGTGACGGTGAGCTTCAGACCTCTGTGACTAGCAGATGGGAGATGATCCAGCTTCGGAAACTCGTCCCCTCCTGCCATCAGAGTGCCTCAGTAAAAAGGTTTCCTGTCAGTGGGCACATCCATTCTCTGATGAACCAGAAGTAAAAAGATTCTGGATTTATTTTAAAAGAAATAATATGTGCTGTGAGATCAGTTAGCATTCAATCAGAGATTAACACAAACACAAACAAAACTTAATGTCCAGATTTCTGACCCATTGGCCACTGATAACAATTGGGAAGAATGATCCCTTAGGACTCATCATCCTCACAAGCCACTAAGTTGGTCTCATGAAAGGGAACTTTTCTTTTTATTTATCTACAGAGAGGAGCCATGGAGACAGATTGGTCAGACAGAGCATATGGGACTCGTTTTCCTGTTCCTTCAGAAATCAAAAGCACGGGGTTAGAAAGATGGCTTAGTGGTTAGTAGCCTGCACTTCTCCCACAGAGGACCTGTGTTTGAGTCCCAGCTCCCATGTCAAGTAGCTCACAACCACATGTAACTTCAGCTCCACGGGAATCTGAATCTACCTCTGGCCTCCACAGACATTGCACTCACATGCACATACACACATGTTCACATGCACAGACATGTATACATAACACACATTAAAATAAAATACATATTTTTAATGAAGTAAATTGGGTGCATTTCATAGGTGGGAGCATCTTTATACGGCCTTGACTAAGATGCCACCTGAGGAGATTGAGACATGGTATGTGAAGATCAGTGAGGGTGTGGGGGCAGAGCCTCTGTTAACTCTAGCAAAGGTGAATGGATTGACAAAGGACAAAAAGGACCCAACTTTTTTACCTTGGGAAAATTCTAAAAATTCATCATGTCCTCATTATATTTCAGATTTTTTTCCCAAATAGTTTATTTTCCTGAATGGCTTTTCTCAATACTGAAGTTTTTCTATCTCTCTGATGAATTTTATAATAAACAAAGCCAGGCAAGCCAAATAAAATTATATCAGCAACACAGAACAGACATTACAAGAACACTATGTATTGAGAAATGCATCTATTTTTAACTATTTCATGTCATGATCAAAATTATTTGAGATAAATGTTTGGTGCACAATGTTGGATCATTATTGTTGATTAAAGTCTTGACCAAGAATCTTCAATATGCCATGATGATCTGAAACATAATTGGGATATATACTGGTCTAGAGAAAGCTCTACTCAAGCAAAGAATATAAGATACTGCATAGGGAGCATTATAATATACTAAGGTAACTGCCATACAATAGAGGGATAAAGAAAAAGGAAAAAATAAAACAATTAGGATAAACTTGTATAAATTGAGTGTTTCTAATCCAGAACTTCAAAATGCTCACATTTCCAAAAGCTTATGCCAATATTCAAGAAAAGTACAAAATCTTAAACTCTTCTTATTGCTGGGTCTTAACGGCTCCCTTGGGGAGGGGGTGAGAGGACGTGGTGTCAACAATACAGACCCAGGAGTCAGTTGAAGGCAAATAACAGACTTGTTTACTCAATAATGTTGAAGGCCTTATACCCTCCTCCCAGCACCCAGGTTGTGTCCCAATCTGGTGGCATTGCATAGTTGTCCCTCATTGACTGGCCATGATCAGGAACTCTGACAGTGCCTGTTGCTAGACCCTCAGGCAGGCTCCAGGTTGGCTCATAAGGAAGTACATTATGTGCATGCCTTGGCAACTGGTTTGAGCCAATTTCCTTGACCCCGTGGGCCTGTCCTACTACAACTTCCAATGCCAAACATTTTGGATAAAATATATTCAGCCTTTTCCTACAAGAAGTATATGAGACATGAAGGAAAACTTTGCATTTGTTTAATGGGTATGATTTGGATACATGGGGGATGGGAGGATTGTTCTGTGCTAAACTGTGTCTCCAAAAAATGTGTGTGTTGAAATTCTGACCTCAATACCTTACTATATAACCATATATGGAGATAAGAACCTTAAAGAGACAACTAAATTAAAATAAAATCATTAGGATTAGGCCTAACCTAGTATAAGTAGTTTGGCTCTGAAATAATTACCTAAAGTACATATGCTGGAGACTTGATCTCTAAAGCAGCCATGACCTGAGGCAAGGTCTCTTGGAGGTGATGAATGGGTCATAAGTGTATTGACCTCATACCTACTTGTGGACTTATAATCCTAATGGGATTTGAAAAGCTATGGGAACTTTAAGAGGTGAGTCTAATTGAGATTATCAAGGGAATAAATATACTCCTTCTTATTCTACCCCCTATCCCTGGCTCCCATAAGTAGAACTGCTTTATTGCTTTATTCACATGATTCTTTCCCTTACCAACAGGACCAGAAACAGCAGAGCCGACTGCTCAAGTCTCAGTGCCTCTGGAACTGTGAGCCAAAATCAGTCTTCCCTCCTCTAGTCTGATTCTCCCCAGGTGTTTTTTCACAGTGACTGAAAGCCAACTCACAAAGCATGCATCCACAAAGAGAAAAGAAAAGACACTGTAGGCTGTCTGCACATGGAAGAAAGACATCACAGAGACACAGGGAGAAGGCAACCGAGGAGAGAGCCAAAACAAGACACCCAACTGATGACATCTTCAATCTTGTCTTCTGTGAGAGAATACATTTCTGGTGTTTAAGCTAAATAACCTGTGGTGTTTTGTTATGGCAACCCATCTGAGTTCATTTTGGGTTGCTATAACAGTGTACCACAGGCTTGGTGATTTATGGGAGCAGAAATGTATTTGGCTCTTGGTACTGCAGACTGGGAAGTTCAAGAACATGGTGCCAGTGTCTGGTGAAGGTCTTCGTGCCATGTCCAACTATGACAGAAGGTAGCTGGACAAAAGAGAATGGGAAAGACTGACCAAGTGTTGGGGGAGACAACTAAGTTTTCTAACAAGCACATTCTTGGGAAGACTAACCAATATTTTCACTAACCGCATGAATCTGTTCTCTGGCTCTTACCAATCCTCAACAGACTCTGTCTTCCAATACCTCTCTGTTGAATTGAGTGTTCTGCAAGTGAACTTCAGGGGACACATTCAAAGCATCACATGACTCCAGCAGACTAGCAAAGTATCATATCAGGTGCTGTAACAATTGTGACCAAAAGCACATTGAAAAGAAAAATTAGATAGTTTGCATGTATAAACAAAAAACAATCAGAATCAGTGTTGAAATAAACTTGTTTTAAATAGACTATTAGAGATATAGTGGGACATAGGTTAATTACAACAGTTTGGTTCTAAATGCCAAAGGACCTATATTCAAAGCTAAAAAATATAGACTTTATTCATATATAACACAAATAACAAATGGAGTCATTAAAAGCTCCTCTGTCTCTGTCTCTGTCTCTGTCTCTGTCTCTCTCTCTCTCTCTCTCTCTCTCTGTGCATGGATGTGTGTTCAGGTGTGTGTATGTGTTCTTGTGAGTGAGTGTGTGTGTGTGTTCATGTGTGTATGGGGATGCTCATACCATGTAGGGAGCAGGAAACAATATGGAGAATTATATCTTTCTGACATTTCCCCCTTATATTTTGACACTGGCTCTCATATTGAACCCAGAGCTCATCAACATGGCTAGACTGGCTAGCTATTGAATGAACCTTAAAGATCCTTCTGTCTCTGCACTCCCAGAACTGCGGACATGTGCCACCACCTTGCCCAGCTTTGTTATGTGGGTGTGGGATCTAGACCCAGGCTCTCATGTTTGTGCAGCAAGCACTTTAGTGGTGGAGCCCTTTCCTCGGCTCCATGAATGTTTTGTTTTTTAAGACTAGAGTAACATGAGGATTAATTAGCAACAAAGCACACAATGGTTTGCATGGGGAAAGGAGGCTGGGGAGCGATTCAAAAGAGCGTAATAAAGATAGAGACAGGAGAAGAAAGAAAGAGTTCGGAGAGTCGGCGTGACAACAAGAGTTAGCATAAGGAGTCAGAGACAAGGCCTCTTCAAACGGCCGTAATAGAACTTGACATGAAAACATTCCTGAACTGTCCAATTGACTGAATTTAACTTTAAACCATATTACCCATTTTTTTTTCTGTTAAAATTACACAAATCCTTAAACTATGGGATTTCAACCTGTTGCAGTAAGTTCTCTTGCAGGGTTAGTGGGTTGTAATTTTCCTCCCTGATTTGTTTTTGAGAGAGGGGGAAAAAGGGAAGGGTGTCTGTCCGAGTGCCCCATGGCACACTTCAAGAAGATTTTCCCCACACAGCAAAACATCTGCTTTCCATCAGCCACAGCTGCAGTGGATCCCGGAGCATGGCCCGGGAGTAAGCAACAGCAGCTGTGGTCCAGTGTCCTGTGCATCAGGATCTTCCTGGCAATTGCCAGCCACGAGCGAGGGACTTGCAATGACACCCCCGTCTGCCCCCACCACCTGGCAAGCATCTTAGTTCTGAAACACGGCTAGTTAGTGGCTCTTTCTTTCGCTCTAGTTCCCTGGAGACCAGCTTCTGTCTCCTCGTCAAAACAGAAGAGTAAATGTGAAGGCTGAGGCAGAAAAGGAAGCCCTGGGGGGTGGGGGTGGGGTGGGGGGCGTGGCGGCGGTCGTGATCTGAGAGCTTCCCACATGTGACTTTTCCATGTTAAGACTGAGTACAAAGTTCCCCTGAAATAGTATTCTGGAGCTAGTTTTGCAGCTGAGTTAGTAGAGTTCTTTCCTGGCATACACAAAGGCATAGGTGTCACCCCAAACACTGCACAGACAGGCATGGGGGCACTTAACTGTGATCCTGGCACCCAGGAGAGTCAGAAGTTCAGGATTCTTCTCAGCTACATAATAAGTTTGAGGTCAACCTGGGTTACAAAAAAAAATGTATTACGTTAGATGATGATAAATAGTATGTGTGAGGAAAAATGGATAAGCTCAGGGCATGTTGGGAGAATAGGTTGTATTTCTGTGTGCAGCATCCCATCATCTTCAGCAAGAAGATAAAGAATGAAAAGATTAAGCACAGCATCGTCTTGGAGATGTGCGTTCTGAGAAGAGGGGACAATGATGACTAGCAAGAGCATGCCTAGCCTGAAGGGCTCAAGAATGGGTTAGCGAAGTGCAGGGAGAAGAGCTGGCCAATTCTCTCAGTTGGAAGATTGCTCACCTAGTATGTACAAGGCCTGGGGTTTCATTCCCAGCTCCATGTAAGCCAGGCATTGTGATGATGCATGCCTGTCATTCCAACCCTGGGGAAGTAAATGAAGGAGGATGGAGTTCAAGACTACCCTCTGCTACACAGTGCATTAGGGCCAGCTTGGGAAATGTGAAATTCTCTCCTTCTCTAAAAAAAAATAGGGAAAGTAGAATAAGTTTGTCAGACAAGAGATTGAAATGCCCCCACACTGGGAGACTCAATCCCAGTACTGTCATCCACCAAGCCTTATGTGGATGGATAGAGAGCAGCCTTTTCTGTGATTATCCAGGTACCAGGATCTCAAATGTGACTCATTCCATTCCCTTGATGGAAAGGAACAGAAGCAGGGCCATGATATCCCCGGGTTTTCCATAGGGTTATGCCACATTGATCACAGCTATGACACCAGGGCTGAGGAAGGCCTAATGCAGGCAGACGTATAGGACAGATGTGTAGAAAGTGTTGCTAAAGAAAGGGGATTGGGGTTCAGGAAAGCAACCAACCCATTGAGAATCAAAATGCAGTTTACACAAGGATCTTACAGAGCACATTCACAATGCCACTCTGTAGGTATGAAGATGACACCAGCATTCTTGACTCCTGGCTTCCTGAGTTCGGGGTGCCATATGTGGCCCGCCCACCCCTACCCCACCCCACCCCCAGCTTGTAATGGTTTGCTCACCTCTACTTCCTCTTAAGCTCTTCGGAGTTTTCACTGAAAAAAAAAAAAAAAAAGCAAGAGTGTCATTTTTGTTTCCAAAGAAAGGCTGAGTAACAGTTTTCTGGACATCTTGATGGCCCCAATCATCCTTTGATTGAACGTCCCATAGGTTTGTTATGATTAGCGAGAGCAGAGGGAAACATAGTTCTTCCCAAGGAGAAAATAAAACGTATACCATCACACTGAACACCTGGTGGGATTCAAGATTAAGTTACAAATGGTTTGGAAAGGGCCTGTCTGGGGCAGATGTGGCCTCTTCTTGAGACTGCTGCACCACTACCTGGTAAAACTGCACTGATTGTTCTTCAACTCACTGATCGCAGGATCTTTAATGTGCTCTGAGTTTATGTTGAATTGAGAGGGCAAAGGTCGGTCTGCGGCTTAGAGTGAAATGGAAGTACAATATGGAGGAGTGATAAAATGGTGAAATTCACTTCCTGTGTTTCTGTGCAGTTTCCATCAAGGGAATGGCATGTGTCGTATGAGAACCTGTCACTTGGATGGTATTAATAATCGTCACAACAGAAAAGGCTGCCATGTGTCATTGTCAACATCTTATAAACATTATGTCATTCATCCCTCCAACACTAACTACCCCCACCTTACAAATAAGTAAACTGAGGTTTAGACAGAGCTATAGAGAACTTTCCGGAAATTGTCGAAACTTATCTGTGGATCTCAATGAAATTCAAGCTGAGGTGTCCTGTTCCTTAGCTGTGACTTTTAAACCCCTGTTACATCACAGCCACACTAATGTGCATCTTGCTACAATGTCTGTCTCTCTTGTAGCTTTAGAATCAATGTCTTGACCTTGGATTTTTGTGTTTTAGGGGTACTGCCGGGCACAAACAACTCTCCCACTTCTCACACTTGAGGCAAATAAATTATATTCTGTGCTCAAGAGTCTCTTGATTCATAACTACCATCCTGTCATCAAGCTGACCTTTGATTGACAAGTTTACCATGACCACTGTGCCACAGTGAACCCTTGAGTTGTGGGTGCTATGGTTTGGGTGTTTCTTCTAAAGGGCTATGTTGAAAGGTACGGGAACCTTGAAGACGAGTCTGCTGGGAGGTAGCTAAGTCATTGGGCATATCACCCTCAAGTGAAAAAGTAATGCTTGTCTTTTGCCACATGGAATGAGTTCTCAAGACAATAGTTTCCTATTAAGTGAGGTCACTTGTACTTAGCCCCTTCTGCCTGCGACCTGTTTCCTTTTATTTCTCTTCTTTGTTGCCCAGAGAAGCCCTCAAGGGTAGAGACATAGGGCCACCCAATTTGGACTTTTAGTCACTCAAACCCTGAACTCAAGAAGAAAAAAAAGGATGCGTTTCAGAGATTTTTTTTTAAAAAGAAGAATTTTAAACGGCAACTCAGCCAGCAACCAGATGCTTCACTGCTAAGAGGAACTGACTGTCTCTGCTTGTGTGATGGGACTCTTCCCGTCTCTCTCCTTTGTTGAGCACTGTGCCTTAAATTCCTCATGCAAAACATTGTCAGTTAGCTTTTCTGCTCCATTTTGAACAAGAATGCCCCAGTTTGACTAGCCACTAATATCTACACATCACAACCACTTCCTACAACGACAGGAAGTTTGCATTCACACAAGAAAATCACGTCTTCTGTTGCTAATCTAGCAGAAACCATTTCTCCCTGTGGAAAAGGAGGCAGGCAGGGTTAGTCAAAAGGAGCCATGAGGAACTTTCAGCGATGGGAGCATACATGACACCATGCAGATACAGAGATCTACAACTGTCTGTTCCTGTTACTAATGTGACCTTTCCTCTCAGAGAGCAATGAAATTCTATGCGGAAGTGTAGAGGGGGAAAATGAAAAGTCAGTGTTAAAGAATTGCAGTTCTTCTTAGAGAATATTGAAGAATAAGGAAAAGTAGACAAAAAATCAAGGAATAAAGGGAACAATATGAAATCAAGCAAAACAACAAATACCTTAATAAATCAAGAGAGAGGTGGGGAAGGATTACATATTAACAGAAGCAGAGTGGCAGAGTTAAAGTCTGCACTGAAGATTTTAAGAATATTTTAAAATTTATGTTACATGTATATAATGTTTGCTTGCATATATGGAAGTGTATCACATGTGTGAGGACAGAAGAGGACACCAGAGTCTCTGGAACTGGAGCTATAGATGGTTGTGAGCAGCCATATGCTGGGGATCACACCCAGGTCCTCTGCAAGAACAACAGGTGCTCCTAACTGCTGGACCAACTCCCAGTCCCGCACTGAAGAGCTTTAGAAGTGGCTGGTGAAAACTCTGAGCCAGTGTGTTCAAAGTAAACTTGGTAAGCTCTTCAACTGGAGGAAAAATAGCAAAGGACCAAAACTAATACAAAAACAGAGGATAGACACAGAATCCGGGAATCATGGCTATTTCCAAGCATGAAAATAAATTCTAATTAAACCCTAGCAAGAGAAGCAGAATAAAATGCACAATTAACAATTTCTGGGACTCAAAGCTGAGCTTTTCAAAATAGAGATTCAAAAGAGTCAACTTAAGTTGAGTAAATTAAATGGAAATAAATCCACATAGAGATACATGCTGACAAAGCTTTGAAGCTCAAGGGGGGGGGGCGGGAAGGCACCCCATAAAAGAGCCCTGCAAAATACCAGCCCGAATCTCAGACAAAGTCCCCCAGGAAGATGCAATGTTCAAGACAAACATGTGCAGCCTCATCTTCTAAGGAACTTTCAAGCATCACCGAGGGCCAGCATTCCCCTTGCTCTTAGATAATACAAAGTAGTGGCTGCATTTCAACACAACCATTAGCTCCCCATTTCCTTTCAAGCCCATAGACTTGACTTTGGGTCCATGACAAACCTGCCAGCAACAATGTTGAGCCGATGAAGAATTTGGACGAGCTGATGGCTAGACGCCAGATAGCAGCTTGTCGCTTATTTTTATTTTATTTGGATTTGGTTTTCATACATCAAAACATCATGGATCCAAAGTTTCCCTTTTGGGTCATAGGTCACCAGATCCAGGATGCAACAGTGGGATTTTCCCCAGACTGTTACTAATTAGCTGGAGACCACATGTTCCAGGGAAATCAAAACCAGAAAGAACAGGAATTTGTATTTAGCTTTGGGCAGAGAGGCATGGATACTTCATATAGGATCCTCCACAAGAGGTATAGTTTAAAATAGAGTCCAGCATGACATATGAATACAGACCATAAAGTTTCTCCAATCTGAAAGAATCAGAGTTCAGGGATATTTGCACTGTTTGAGGAGAAGAAATGAAGGGGATGATTACAACATCTCAAAAATGTACACAGGATTCCACAATAAAGCTGAAGGAGAAGCTGACACATTGGACGAGACAAAGTTAGAAAAGGAGGCATCGTGGGATAATCAGATAAGTGTTTGGCTGACATTCAAATTTTGGAAAGATTGAAGAATCAGAAACATGGTGGATCTGGTGAGAAGGGGTGACTAATAGCTTCTAATGGTGCAGCTTTCACATGGGAAGCCTGTAGAGCCTGGAAGCAGGGCTGCCTTTCCAACCATAAGCACAAATTTCTCCATAATAAAGTTTGACATTGTGAAATAGGTAGATGATAGGAAGACTCCCATAGGGATAGCAAAATTTTTTTAAAAAAAATTGGTAAAGGCAGAATAAATATGCAAACTACTAGAGAAGTTTCTGAGAACATAGCTCAGTCAGTAAAATGTCTTGTAAGCATAAAGTGCTGAGTTGAGATCCCCCAAATCCATTGAAAATCCAAGCCTAAGAGTAAAGGTAACCCCAGTGCTGGAGGCAGAGTGGGGCAGAGAGACACAGGTATCTGGAGCTTACTAAGTCACCATGCTAGCCAGGCCAGCTAGCTCCAGGTCTAGTGAGAGACACAGTCTCAGAGAAAAAGATGGAGAGAGACTTAGGAAGGAAGCCAACATGAAGCTCCAGCCTCCACAGGCAGTGTTTGCACTCTTCCACACATCTGCACACCTCTACATGTGCACCTGCATGTACACTCAGACATGCACGCAGTGCACACATATGTATACAGACAGCATACAAAAAGTTAAATAAAAAGACACAAATAAGGAGCAGCTTTGTCTGTAAGGGACTATGACTGTTAAAAGTGCAAAACACAAGGTGAACTGCAAAGACAGTTTTACTGAACAAAGAAGGTTCCTTCCAGAAAAATGGACAAAGACAGTGAAGAGGGAGGGAATGTAGAAAACCTGGAGAAACACCTTAAGGAAATTCTCATCTACTTGGTCACAGACCTTTTGGCCTTTTCACTAAAGCATATGGTTGGAGTGCGTGCTGAGATTGGGGAGATGTGCATCAGAAGATATTGCACGAGTCCTAATTGGTCTTATAATAAAAACCCGGAGCCAGATATTGGGGTAAATTCCAAAAGACCAGAGGAAACAAGCCACAGCCACTTCTCACCTCACCAACTCCTCAGCCAAAAGGGGAAGATTCTGTCTCCATGAGTCCTCAGCCTGAATGCCCCTGAGTCCTCGACAGAAACTTCCATCTACAAGAGGGTTAAAGACACTGGGTGAGTGTAATCCAAATACACCATAGGGAATGTTTGCAGAATTAAAGAAAAAAAAAACATTTTTAAAAAGAAAGAGAAGATAAGTGGGCGGATGTTAGAGGCTGTGGTGGATCTTGGGGAAGGGTGGAGAGTGAATATGATCAAAATATATGGTATGAAATTCTCAAAGAGGATTTCACTGGTTATATTTAGGAACACATATATTCATATATACAAAAACATATATACATGTATACATGTAAGAACAATTCATGAAAAAGAGGCCATGAATTTAATGGAGAGTAGAGAAAGGTATATGGGAGGATTTAGAAGGAGAAAAAGGGAGAGAGAAATGTTGTAATTAAATTATAGTCTCAAAAATAAACAAAATTTGAGAGAAAAAAGAGAAACCAATTTTAAACTTAAGAGCAAAGCTATGTTTAAAAGTAGAAAAATATGAGGAGAGAGAGAGAGAGAGAGAGAGAGAGAGAGAGAGAGAGAGAGAGAGAGAGAGAGAAGAGAGAGGAGAGAGAGAGAGAGGCCAAACATTTTAAATGGAGTTATTGAAGCAGCTTCATTTCTCTTGTTGTTTAAACTAAGATTGTATCAGTTAGGAGTCGTTATGGAAGGTGGATCCTCTTGTGCTTCTGCTTGGCATTCTGGAACCAGTTAAAGGCCCGCAGCTGGGGACTCAGGCCCCAGTGGAAACTTCTTGGTGTTGTGTTGCTAAATGGCCTCAGTGCCAGACTGAACTCTGAATTTTTGTGTTTATGTCAATAGATTAGTTTTTCTCTTAAAGAAGAGAAAGAGGAAGATACCAGAAATGTCTAAATTGTCACAAAAGAAATCAATTGGAGCTAAATAGTGAACAACGATGACCTCCAGGTGTGGCCTTAGTCTTTATAGATCAAATAAAGAAATGTGGTTTCCTAGCATGCAATCTTGCCAACCTGTCAGGAAGGGAGGTGGAGCCGAGTGAAGTGTGCCTGGTGGGTAGGAGAGGGGCTGGATAAGTTGAGTACAGAAAGACTTCTGCAGAAAAAACTGAAGGATTCAGGTAAGAATTCGAATTCTGTAAAACGTGAGTGGACACATGGTTCTGACTGATAGGACAGGTAGGTGTCTAGAGATGAACAAAGGAGATATTCAGAGAAACTTTTCAGGGACTAGGAGATACACTAGGTGTGACAGTGATGGTGGATATCCACCAAATCCACTCCCAGACTCTGAGTATTTCTCAAGCTGCAGCATTACCTTTGGGAGGCCAAAAAGTACCGAGAACATGGCATGGAGATGGCTCAGTTAGATAAGTGCTTGCACTGGATGCACAAAGACCTGAATTCTGTCACTCTAGCCATTATAAAAAGTAGAGCATGGTGGCATATGACAATCAATCCTAGTACTGGGAAAGAAGGGACACTCATATCCCTAGGGGTTGATGGCCATCTAATCTAGCCTAACTGGTGAGTCACAGGTCCCAGCAAGTGATCATGTTTCAAAATCAACTTATCTCAAAAATCTGAATGGACGTCTTCTGAGAAATGCTACCTGAAGATGTCCTCTGACCTCCACATGCAAAAAAAAAAAAAAAAACCAAAAAAAAAAAAAAAACACAAGAAAGAAAGAAAGAAAGAGAAAAGAAGGAAGAAGGGAGGGAGAGGGGAGGGAGGGAAATGGAGGGAGGAAGACGGGGGAGAGAGGGAAAGGGGAAAAGGAAGGGCAAGTAGAAATGGAGAGAAAAGAGTGAGAGAAAGAAAGGAAGAAAGAAAGAAAGAAAGAAAGAAAGAAAGAAAGAAAGAAAGAAAGAAAGAAAGAAAGAAAGAAAGAAAGAAAGAAAGAAGGTAAGATAGAAGAGAAAGGAATGAAAGAAGGAGAAAAGGAAAATAAAGAGAGATAAAGGAGGAAAAGGGGGAAGGAGAGAGAGAGGTCAGAATAAGGGAAGAAAGGGCAGGAAAGAGTCAAAGCAGCCCCCCTGAGTGCTGGAACTACAGCCGTGTACCACAGTGCCCATTGTAGGTGATGCTGGGGATCAAACCCTAGTTTCACCTCTGCTAGTCAAGCGTTCTATCAATTAAGCTACACAAATTCCAAATATATATATATTTAAGCTACACAGACTTTAACTTCTGAGATATTTTCTCCACTAGCTCTTCCTCTTGCCAGGCTTCCTACCAGGAGTTCCCACTAGAAGACTCCAAGAGCTTTCAGAGCTCTGATAACAGAGTCCTCCTTCCCAGGGTTGAGACCCAGTGGCTCTTGGGATTTATTCTTCTAAATTTAAGTGCTTCCCCACTAATCTCAAAGTGTAGACAAATGGAGTGAAATTCTGCCCAGCAGAACATTCTAAGAGTTCATGTCATGAAACATGAGTTCATAAAACATTGATATGTGATAGAGAGAATAATTCGGGTTTATTGTAATTATTCTCTTAAAGGGAATGGAAGGTAATCCACGATGCTATCCCTTTCTGAGAAAGAGTCCCTCTAGGTGTCTGCCATCTCATCCATCCATGCAGCTTTTTTTGTTTTGTTTTTAAATTTTTTTATTAAGAAATTTTCTATTCATTTTACATACCAACCACAGATCCCCATCCCCTCCCTCCTCCCATCCCCCAGCTTCGCCCCACGCCCCTTTGATTTGTCTTTTTGAGACAGGGTCTCTCTACATAGCCTTGTCTATCCTAGAATTCACTATGTACAGCAAGCTGGACTTGAACTCACACCAACACCCCTGCCTCTGTCCACCACACCCAGCCTACCTATCTCTTATACAAGCAGGGAGAGTCTTCAGCAAAGCTAGCGATGCTAAATTTAATTAAATCTGTCTTTTTCTGCTCTGACTTCTTTTGTGTAGAATTTTCATACTGGGCATGAGTCACGGCTTGCATCTAGAAAAAACAAAACAAAATAATTGTGCGTTTTAAAAATAAAACCTACGAGAATAAAAGCAATTTAGGCAAATAAAAATATCAAGCTAAGGCAGCAGATGCCACACACTACCTCATAGGACAGCTAATTGAATTACTGAACAATGAATAAATGAAACTTTTGGCCAGCCAGAACTTACTTTGTGGGTACTGGAAAGTCTGTCTCCATTATTTAATTAGCAGAAATGAAGCTAGCAGGCTAAGGTTCAGTTAGCACTTTCAGCAAAGGAATGCTATCCATGGTCACATGTACAGACAGACCAAGAGTGGCCATTAGGACAACTTTTCCAACCCGACAGGGTTTTATAACCACTAGAAAATCTAGAGAAGTCTTGAATGTGACTAAAGAAAGAATGAAGTCAGCCCCGAGTCCATGCTCTCCTTTATCCTTGGAGGAATCATTTCGCACTCCTCACTTTTCTCTAAGCTTAAGTCTGGTGTACCTCTGGAAAGAGAAATAAACCTACCTCCCAGCACTGACCATGATAAAATTAAAGTCAAATATACTTACATACATATACACATGTGTATTCACATACTCTCTGTGTATTTACACATATGCATATATTTATTTATGCTTTGCCTGTGCAATTATGGGGAGTTATGAATGAGTGTAAAGTCCAGAGATGTGGCCTTAGCATAGACCACAGCATGGGAAGATGATTTTAAGAGCTAACAGCAGGGGTCTTTTTTACTCTCTGGACTAATTGTACTTGGTGCCAAGCAGTTCTTTGCTGTGAGGACTGCATTGGGTATGTGAGGACTGTAACGGTCATAAGAGCATCCGTGATCTAGATGCCATTCTCAGCCTCTTCCCTTCCTCCAACTGTGACAATCCAAGAGAATCACAGACCTTATTTCAAATGTCCCCTGGGAAGCAAAATCACCCTCTACTGAAAACCACAGGACTAAGTTCTAGTATGAAAAATCTTAAAGGATCCGGGATAGTTGGTTTCTTTGAGGCAGATTTGTAGATGTAACCAACCGTCTTATTAAATAAGAAACACAGAAACAATGTAAAAGAGAAAGCCGAGAAGTCAGAGCTCAGAGCTAAAATCTCACCCTTCCTCCTGCTGTCCCAGCTTCGCGAAAAGAGACCTACTTCCTGTCGGTTCGTTTTTTTAAAGTATGTTGTTCTGCCTTCTCATTGGTTGTAAACCCAAACACATGACTGCCTCGTCACTGTCTGAATGTACAGCCCCCTAGGTCTTAAAGGCATATGTCTCCAATGCTGGCTGTATCCCTGAACACACAGAGATCTTATGGGATTAAAGGCGTGTGCCACCACCGCCACACTCTTGCTATGGCTCTAATAGCTCTGACCCTGAACACACAGATATCTATGGGATTAAAGGCGTGTGCCACCACCGCCACACTCTTGCTATGGCTCTAATAGCTCTGACTCCCAGACAACTTTATTTATTAACATACAATCAAAATAATAATTCAGTACAATTAGATTACCACCACACAGATTCTCACTCTGTAGCTCAGGCTGTTCCAGAACTTACTACATAGCCCAGGCTACCCTTAAATTAATAACAATCTTTCTGTTTCAACATCTCGAGTTCTGGGATGACAGTAGTGCATCATTCTGCCTGGCTTGACTCTTTTTTCTTATTATTCATGTTTTGTTTCTTGGCAGTAAGCTATACATTCTCTGTGGGTATGTATCATTGCTTGTATTTTTAAATATCTTCTACATGTAGACAATGAATAGATGTTCACTGTCTAAACAGACAATTCTGGTCAAAGATCACATCCAGGAAATTCTCCAAGGAGCTATGTTGGACATGGTTCTTACACACTCCTTATTTCTTCTCAGGGAAGATAATTTACTCTGACTTCATGTCCACGGCATTCACTGAGCCCGACAGTCCAGTTTTCCAGCCACTGCTGTGTGAAGGGTCACACAGCAGGCTGGAATTGCCTGCCCGAAGGCCTTCCCATGCCCCTTGGATGACTGAGACAGACATACTGCCTGCATCTCTTCACTGTCCACTTGACATAGATGCAGCCCACTTTGTCTTCCACCCACCATGCTTTCTGCAAGACAGGATTCAAGCTTAATGATCTAGGAAATAGCCCATAGACCAGATGCTTCAGTCAACTCAGGAGAGATTCTTGAACCAGGCACTGGTAAGTTTGACCAATTAGTTTATGCCATTCTAAGAACTCCAAAGCCCTTTAACCCCCAGCTCATGGC